TCAGCTAGCTTAGCGCTGTTAACCTAGCTGAACAATCTTTAAATTTTCGAAATACATATATGCAGGAATTAGGTGTCTTTTTAGTGTTTTTCAACGCCACTAAAATTAATTTAGTTTACCTAAACCTAGCTGACCCACACATTTTAGCTAGGTTAACAGCGCTAAGCTAGCTAAAAACACAAATTTTTGCGAATTTCTCGGCAACCAATGGAGCTACTAAATTAGTTTTAGTGGCGTTGAAGAACACCTAAAAGACACCTAATTTTTGCATATGAGCCATTCTTTTCCATATCGGACACCAAATTTGGTGTCACACTTTCGATTGACTTCAATTTTTTTTTATTGGTTCTATATACGAAATAAGCTAACACGTGTTCGAGGTATTTTTTTTCGTTTTTTTTTCTTTGGAGATATGATCTGTCAAAGTTTGCATTTTTTCAAATTGTTATATCTCGGGTTCTGCCCATCGTAGAGACTTCATCTTAACGTCATTTTAAAGCTAAAGAAACGGGCTTAATATATCTATATCTATATATAAGATGGTCAAGATTGTCCTAAAGCTAACTTAGCTATTAACATTTGAAATTTTTGAAGTTGATTTGCATAGTGAAGACCAATAAATAAGGATTTGAAATTATACCTTCGTAATCCTTGTTTAATTATCTATAAAAACGTGGTAAAAAATGGGGGTTTTTCAAGAACTTTTTTTAAAAATATTTTTCTCTATGAAGAGACGGTTTATTTTGTGAGTATCAACAATTTTTTGTAATTTCTTTTCCAAAACGTATGTTGAAATATATTTAGTAAGGTGTTAAACATCGAGATTTTGCAAGATAGAATACCTGTCCAGGTAAAATATTTGAGCGGCAAGACTTTTCTTTAAGGCGACAAACCCCTAGAAATGGGCGTGGCAATTGCGGGACTAAAGTTTGCAAAACGCAGCTTTTATTGCGGATTTCGGCAGAATATCGCTTCGTTAACAACATTTGTTCCACAACTTTTTCAATCAACGAATATTCTAGAAATGGACGTGGCTATATTAAACCCAAAGTTCAAAAATTAAGACTTACTTGTGGATTTCGCCAGAATATCTATATGGATTGAAAAAAGTTGTGGAACAAAAATTGTTAACGAAGTGATATTCTGCCGAAATCCGGAATAAAATCTGCGTTTTGCAAATTTTAGTCCTGCAATTGCCACGCCCATTTCTAGGGGTTTTTCGCCTTAAAGAAAAATATCTTGCCATACTATATATTCTATCGGAATCCACAATCAAAATTTTACTTTTTGCCAAAACCCGATGTTTAACACCTTACCAAATATATCTCAACATAAGTTTGCGAAAAAAATTACAAATAATTGTTGATTCTCACAAAACCCTCCTATTTTTTTGTACCACGTTTTTATAGAGAATTACGATGGTTTACGTAACCCTAGCTGACCCACACATTTTTGCGAAATTCTCGGAAACCAATGGAGCTACTTAATTAGTTTTAGTGGCGTTGAAGAACACCTAAAAGACCCCTTATTCCCGCATATATTTGGAAAATTTAAAACCGAAATTTAAAGATGGGTCAGTTAGGTTTACATAAACCCACACATTTTTGCAAATTTCTCGGAAACCAATGGAGCTACTAAATTAGTTTTAGTGGCGTTGAAGAACACGTAAAAGACACTTAATTCCTGCATATATGTATTTGGAAAATTTAAAACCAACATTTAAAGATATTTTTGCGAATTTCTCGGAAACCAATGGAACACCTAAATACATTTTGGAGGCCCTAATTAACACCTAAAAGATTCCTAATTGCTGGATAATTTTTAGCGACTTGGGTCAGCTAGGTTTACTGACGTCATTTTTATACATACAGTGACGGGCAAAACTGTAACATGGTGTAACACCATCGCTATATTTCCAAGTTCTAACGACTTTCATGCTTTTGTTGTATATTCTTGTTGGTGCATCCTTACTCCCTCTCTCATAGTGATTTGAAGTCAATACAACAACAATAAAAAGACCAGCAGACCTTCTTTGTATCTTTGTATAAATTCTGGAGGTATATCCTTAGTTTGCTTTCACAGCTCATGTACTCGATTTTACGGACTTTGATACTTATTAAGCTGTGCTTTTAGTTGATTTCGCAAATTCTCGATGAGATTCAGGTCCGCGGAGTGTGGAGGTAATTTCAAATTAGCAAATTTTTGCTTTTGTATCCAGGCTTTGCGAACATATGCAGTGTGTTTTGAGTGATTTTTCAGCAGATACTCTAATTTTTTCGACTACATCTTGCAAATTTTGATGAAATATGAACAGATACTGTTCCTTACGCATACGTACTAACGGACAAACAAAATTTTTTAAATACAACCCCAAACTATAACTGACCGACCACTGTGATTCACAGTTTGCCTTACATGATGCGCTTAGGCCTAATTTGGGTCTTTGATCCAATACCATGCCCGGCCATCTGATTGAAAGCGATTAATTTAGTCTTGTCAGACCAAATAACCTTCAATTGAAACTTAAAAATATGTTTTTTATTGCATTCTGAACGGCCTAACATATCCCAATAGGCAACGGTTCGGTTTTCGTACGATGCAGCGAAATGCTGCCACACTCGCACATGTATTATGATAAAATTTGCTTTTTTCTTCTTTATGATGCCTTTGCGCTCAATTTGGCAATTCTTCGCCTCGCTGTCTATTGATTTGCATTAAAGTTTAATACCTTAAGCGCTTCTGTAATAGTGGCTGCATCGCTACTTGCTGCTAAGTTCACAAGTTATCGTACCGTAATATTTTTTGACAGACTTCCTTTGTCCTTGGGAACACTTTAGGTTATATTTTTTCTCAGTCTTAACATTTTCAAGTAGCAAATTCCAAAATTTGTTACCACTTTTCGTGCGGTCCCGCCTTGCCGCAGTAAATCTATTATTTACATTTATGGTTCTTGGTGATCACTTCTTCAATAAATTACTATACAGAAAAGAGTCATCTGACTTCCAACTAAGTAAGAGATAACTGTAAAATGCAAAACTGAGAGTGAGTGCAAAACTGTAACATCTGATTTAATTTACATTTTTGTCTGCTGGTTTTATTATTGTTGTTGGATTGACTGCAAATCGTTATGAGAGAGGGAGTAGGGATGTACCAACAAGAATATACAACAAAAGGATGAAAGTCGTTAGAACTTGGAAATTTAGCGGTGGCTGAAATAAAGTGTTACACCATGTTACAGTTTTGCTCGTCACTGTACATACGTACCACCACACAATTTAGTTAAGCTGCACTTAACAGCAAAAGTCTGCGGAAACTATTTTTTTTTAAATATTACCAATATATTGAAAGTTAAAATTGGGTTATTATTTTATAAAAAAAAATTGATCATACTTAAAACAAATTCATATAAACCGTGTTTTCAAACTTTACACAAAACAAAGGAAAATTTAAAAATATTTCATCAAAATTTTGGAACTTTTAATCAGATAAAAAAAAAATACACAAAAGTGGCAAACAATCTCATTTTGAAATGGGAGTTCTTTTGATATGACCGATACTGTACTTACGTAAATATATCGCTGAGCACCCGAATTGTGTAGTTATGCACTAATTTTTT